ATCATGACACCAGAACAGCACAAGTTTCTACAACCAATGTATCAATAATATGAAAAAGAATTTCTAGATTTTTAAGGATTGACAACGGAACCTGCTGATTTTTAGCAGCAGTATTGATGCAGTCAGAACAAGGGAAAATGTAAAGTCAGTATCGAAGATCTCTTCTTCTCCAAAGACCTCAAAACATTTAATGTATTTTCAGTATTTTGGAATTACTGCTTTTTCTGGATTTGTCATAAAATGCTGTTTAAGTGTTTTTTAAAGTAGCCCAATTAAAAAAGATTTCTTCACAAGAAATCATAATTATTTCTACCTGTAACTGGGATGACTGAAGCTAAGGAGACTGTTCAGCACTCTGACCTCTGCTACCCTTCTCTTTTTAAACTTCATGATAGCTGTGTGCTCTGTACTTGTATCACATAGTTGGACGGGTACTTTGAGGAGGAAGGTTTAACTCCTTCCAGATAGATGCTAATTTGACATATCCATTTTTGTATGTAAGGGGATTCAGCTTTAACAAGCTGAGTGAGAAAATGTATGTGCATGATCTCTTCAGTGCACAAAAATAATGTAATATCACCTTCACTGTACCAAAGATGCTCTTGTGTAGTATTTGTGTAGTATATCGGGTGTAAGTTTTGGTTAATGATTTGCAGTCTTGCCCATTGCAGTATTATTTTCAAATGTAGGCAAAGGCACTGACTTTAACTGAAACACTCAGCAGAGGCTCTTTCTGCTAGTCTTTGTTCTATTACTTGTCTTATAAGTAAAGCCCTGAAACTCCTTAAAGACATCTCTGATTACATTGAAGAGTGTGACCAGTGTAACCTGTCAAATTGTGTAGCTGCCACAGTCTGTAGCAATAAGGATTCCTCAGCAGAACAACACTGAGCTTTTCAGCAATAATTTCTTTGTCTCAGCGATAGTTGTTTTATTATTTCAGCTATTACTGCATTGAAGTATGAACATCTTTTTCTCACACAGGCTTCACTAGGAAAAAAAGAAAAAAGCAAAGGCTTGTTTTATAAAGCCCTTCAAAACTGTCCTTGGGCAAAGGTAAGCATAGAAAAAAATATAAACCTGTCATCATACTCTAATTTTTGAAGTTCTGTATTTGAGGGGAAAAAAAAGTTAGACTTTAGTAATTGTTGCAATGAATTATATGCAAATGAAAGGAGAGATTTCTGAAGGAGAAGTACTGTAAGATTTTCTGCAAATAAGAGATGCATCCAAAATGGAAACAAACATAGTGGTCAGTGCTGTTTGCATTTCAGAACAGAAAGGTGTTGCATTGCATGAGGCAAGGAGATAATAAATTCCTCTCTGTGTGATCTAGAAGTGATCATGTCTTTTGTACCATGTTTTATCATGGGCATGGTAGCAGCAGAAATATATAGGCAAATAAAAATGTATTTAGTTAATAGTATAAGAAATTATTCAGAAGCACCTGCAACTCCTCAGGTAATGTCTGTATATGCTGCAAATGCTCCAGCACCTCTTGACCTACATTTTATCTTTTTGAATAAAATTATTTAGTAAAAGTTGGAAAAGACTTGGTTAAACATCTACATTGCTGTCACTGTAGAAGTACTAATTCTGTTTTATTATTTTAAAGAAGTGTATGGTATTTCTTACGTTCTTGTTACAGAGTTGGTTGCATATCTATGTACTTCTTTATACTATGTTTCTTGCTACGATAGAAGGTTAGCACAGAAAATGTTCTCATTGTCTTTCTAGGTGCTCTATATGGATGCAGTAGAGTACTTCCCTGATCATCTGCAAGAGACGCTTGATCTAATGACTGAAAAAGAATTGAGAGTACGGGTACCTATGGAAGAGCTGGATCTACTATTAGAGGTTTAAAAGAACACTGTAGATGAGCAGAGAAAGTACAGAAGCTAGTTCCAAAGCTAACAGTTAGACCTGTCTCTTTTCAAACAGGAACTCTGTTGGGACTTAGGTACTATGTACTTTTTTTTAAGTTGGTGGGGGTTTTTTTGTTTGGGGTTTTTTGGGTTGGTTTTTTTTTTTTTTTAAGCTTTTATATAAATTGCTATTAAAATGGAGTTCTACTAGCTGCAAGTATTCTGGAATCAAGTACTGCATCTTACCCACAAAAATGCATCCATTTCTCTGAAGTATTGCTGGCTCCCACAGAAGGATACCCTCTTATAAATAGCCTCCTGTTGAATGTTGCCCACATTTCTTAGACTATTGTTTGAAATTACATTCCCTAGAGTTCAGCAGAGATTCAGTACATGCCAACTATGGTTTGGTGAGCAGCACAGGAAATAAACATCTGCCAGATGGATGCTCCACTGTCCTCCAGTGGGCAGACTTCCGTAATTTCCTTCAGCTTGGTATGCGTGCGTGTGTATATATAACTACTAAGTCAAACAGAACAGCCGTTACATCTGTACATATACTGCTAGTAAAAGCTAAATCTTTGCTTGAGCAGGCACCTATTTTGGACTTGTATTTGTATGTTTTGACAGATGACCATTTTAATATGAATATTTATGAAAAATATACCTGACTATTTGAAAATTCAAAAGGAACTTGAATTATTTTTTATTTCTTAATTCAATAGAACCACGAGTGTATTAAAAATGAGAATGTATCCATAATACATCTCTAAGCAGCTCACTTTTAAACAAGTTTTTGTAATTGATTACTCGCTTTTGACCCAAATACAGGCAATCATCGTAAGAGAAGTAGAGGTCTGGTCTGTATTTAATCCTCACCAAAGAAGGCAGAGTAGTCAAAACATGATTGTTTAATTAGTAGCTTCTGTTCCAGGAGTCTTTCGGCAAGCTCCTAGAGGACTAATATGAAATATGGTAACAATTTAAAAATATAGTTATGTTATATATTTATTTTATAAGACAGAATATGCTGAAATATGTAACAGACCGTTTAGCATCCCTACTCTTGAGACCCAAGTAATCAGAAACTGGATCTTCATCTGGAAAGAGGATACCTGCAGCCACGGAAAACCCAAAACTGTTTCAGAGGTTTTTCAGGAGAAAACTGTCACTAACAGTGCTAAAACAATTGGGGTCATCCAGCTGGTGAGATGTGATTACATGGAAAACTACGGGTGGACAAAGCCGTACAACCTATGGCTCGGTTTCGCCTGTAGCACCACAATACAAGATACGATACATTTTAGTTTAGGCTGCACTTCATTTATTCCTTTCTAAAATTATTTTAAATATTACAGGGAATACGCAGAATTTTAAATGGCACTATAGCACTTCTTAAGAGCCTTCTAATACTGCTGTGGTTGCAAGTGATGCTGGTTTTGCTGTAAAAGTAGTTAAGTCTTTGTAAAAAAAAAAAAAAAAAACAAACCACCAAACCCATATTTTATTTTTAAAATACATGCTGCTTTCAGAAATGACAGCCCAGGTTGGGAGGGACCTCGAAAAGATTATCTGGTCCAACCTTTTGTGGGACAGGGAGCCTAGGTGAGATTATCCAGCACCCTGTCTGGTCGCATCTTGAAAACCTCCAGTGACGGCAGTGATGACTCTTGTTTCAGCCACTTGTCCCTTCCATGCATCCCCTCCCTGGGCCCTTTCCTTTGCACAGCTTCTCCCATCGCAGCACTCACGCTACATCCTTCGCTTGGGGTGGTCAGAAGCTGCCCACTTACTGGAGCTGCTGGAGTAAGTCCTGCATGTTAATTCAGGCCCCAGTGGCTTTTTCTGTCCTTGTGGGGAATATACTCGCTGTTCACTTTCTCCTGATCTTTGTGACTCAAGTCCAGAAATGTTGGAGAAGGTGGCAGAAGTTAAAGTCTGCTGCAAAAGGTAAGAATTTAATTTTCAAATATATTTCTTTTTCAGTTACTGTTGTAGCAGACAGCGTACCAGAACACAGCTCTCGGTTCAGCTTAATACATTGCAGTTTTCCTTCAGTCACTTGAACCGACCTCTTCATGGTTGGTGCTTCTAGCCAGTGTTAACAGCCACGTCCTGAATAAAAAGAGCCTTGCTCGCCACACATCATAAAGCTTTTCAGCCCCTCAAGCGATGATGAGATCAACTGCCATGATTGGCAAGTGCTAAAAAATCACTGGCTTTTTGTGACCTTTCCAAGGAGACAGATTTCATAAGGTTTGTAAGAATGGGTAATAAAACTTGTTGGTTTTCTATCTCCAGATGAAAAACAACTCTAGTTCAGGGTTCCTGTCATCCAGAGTAAATAAAAGACTCCATTCATCTGTCGGGTTGGTTTTTAACAATGAGCCACATAATTTTTACATAGAAAACCAAGTTCTCTTGGCCTCGCTGCTACCATTGTTGTTACAGCACTGGCAGTTATCAAAGGGATTGCTCTGTGTGTAACTCTCAAACATCTGTTAATGGCCAGCATTTGCTCCCACAGAAAGTTTCCAGAACAAAGACTGCGCATTGCTTAACTGTGGTCTGTATATGGAACTTTTATATAAACCTTAAAAATCACATGTACAACATTTGGAAATTACTTAGAAAGTACGTTTATAATGAACTGTAACCCTCTTATGAAAAACAAATTTATAAACTCATTAACATTACAAGTACCTTACCCAAACATGTTTAGATCTTTAAGAATACTATTGAGTGTCCACCTTGCTTTCTTGTAAGCATAGGTGCTAGATAGAGATGGGTATTTTTACAGTGTATCTGAGCATTACTTAAGATTGCCTGTTTTTCATTAATTTTTAGGACAGTGAGGTTACTCAGAAGTGACTTTTGTCCTAGTTACTTAGCCCCTAAAAAGAGATATAGAAAAGTAATTACTTTAAGACAGCAGCAATTATACAGTAGTTGTAAAAGACTGCCATGCCAAACAAGGACTGACAGGTGGGGACCCTGCCCATGTGCCACGCTGTGGTTTGGAGTGCTGAGACAAGCGCTCTTGTGGAGCTAGGACTTTTTCTTGAGAGTAAGTCTAAGTCTGACTAAAGCAAGAGACGGTTCCATGTAACTAGCGGGTCTTTGCCACCAAAACAAACAGTTCAATTCAAATAAATGTTTTATTGGGAAATGAAGTGTTACACTGACTGAAAAACTACAACCCACCAGGATTTAACCTCTTCAAGAATGAAAATTAGCTTGACTATGTGGTTTTACACAGGACTGCCATCCTAGCCACAGAGAGAGGTCCTGATAGTCCCCAAAGAGACAGGGGACTTAAAGATAGAGTCCCTCAGGGGTTCCCTCCTGCTTCTTATAGAGAACGTTCTCTTTAGACTTTTTGAAGTCTTCGTTTGTTACTTTCATTCGCCGTTCCCTCAAAGCCATCAATCCAGCTTCTGTACAAATTGCCTGCAACAGAGAAAGCAAGAATAAGTTACTGTCTCTCTGCAACCCCCTCAAGCTGCACCTCAGAAGACAGCAGCATCGTCGTACTGCTCCAACGGGCTCTGTAGTAGAAGTGAAGAGTGTTAAGAATGTAAATTTTGTTAAGTTTAATACTATTCAGTAGCACTGAAGCATGTAAAACAGTCTGGCTAAAGCTAGATGAGTATGTCCTCCTGTTGTCAGAGTAACACTTCCATGACAGAAAGGCAGCTTCCTAACAAGAGTTTCCCTCCTGTGAGGAACAGATGTATCCAGCTCTGTCAAGTGGACTGTGTTAGCACCTCAGTGCAGAAGGACAGAGTAATGCCATGTTTAGTTAAGCTCACTGGTGTAACCAGCAAGGGCTCCAGCTACTTTAGAAAAGCAGACTGTCTGAAGCATCCTAATCTACAGTTGCATTTTTATCTGCTTGCACCAGTCTCTAAAAATGCTTCTTACCCTGCACTGTCTTAGTAATGTTTAAGATAGCTTGCATGTTTGTGCAAGATTCCACATTCCCCTTCTGATTTCCACTTTGCTACTTTTAAAATTTCATACTCCGATAACACAGGTGTGTGTTCTTATCAACACAAGCTACCTCATAATTAAGATTTTGATAAATTTCCCATTTGTAAAGCTGAGTACGTGGCACTCATAAAAGGCACTTTAAAGCCATCAAACTGTCCCTCAGTGATGTAACCACAGGTAGGTAGAGAACAGTTTCAAAAGACAATGTTTTTGGATGCAGAAGATTCGATTTGTGTTTTGAAGTATAACAATGGTGATGTACACTGACCTTAATATCTGCACCACTGAGATCATCTTTTGCCATAATCAGCTCATCCAAAGTCACATCATCTGCCAGCGTCATCCTGCTTGTGTGAATCTGAAAGATTCGTTTCTTGGTCTTTTCATCAGGTAGAGGGAACTCTATTTTCCTGTCAATACGTCCTGTGCAAAAGAAAAGTTCAGTCTTAGGTTTTTTTGCATGCAGTTCTATTGGAAACTGAGCAGGAAGAACATTTCAAGGTTAGACTGACAGCCACTGTTTCTTCACACCACAATCAATCATGTCTTAGAGTAGAAAATGAGATCAGACTATTTGCAATGAACAGGAAGCTACCAGAGCTGAAAGATGCCATCCTGCTGACAGTCTCTGTCGGTGCAGGTAAGAGGCAGCTCGCCTGGGAAACATGGAAAACCTTCCTTGAGTCACAAATAAATATAAAAAAAACCCCATGTGTCACAGCACAGAAAACTATTAGTCAAATACTTATGTTCTTGTAATAATTTTTTTATTCTACTCTGAGATTACATTTAGCTCTGAAGTTTAATTTTCTGCCGCACAGAGACACAAAATAAATCACTGTGGCAACTTGAAGAACTCTTCCTCCCTATATAACCAACGGCCTAAAAACCAAACAAAAACGTAACTGAATAAGGAAGGTTCTGCATAAATAGTTCTGCTGCAGGTCCCTACCAGATGTTTATTGCAGTAGGGACTTCGGATGTTCAGGTACTCAATTGTTCCGGCTTTAATGAGCAATCTTTTTAAAGATATTTTCCATCTCCAAATCACTCCCATTTTCCTTTAGTTTTACAGTATCTTCTGAAAAGGGTTGATGGCACCACGTGATATTCCCAACTATTATACACATTGGTACATCAGCCTGCTGAGCTGCTAGAAGTGCCCTGGTTGCTCAAGCAATGGTTATAATTTAAACACCTGGCAGGTGTAGAAGTTTTCTTCCAACAAATTTTAGATCATCTTACCTTGTCCTTTAATACTGGTATAGTATTACCTCCTCTGTACTCTAATGGCACTGTTTCTGATGTGGAGGGGGTAAGGCTAAGATGGTGACAAAAACCAGACTTTTTTTTCCAAACACAAAACACACCTCAGCAACTTCATACTGTGAAGTTGTTTTTGTCTAAACTCCTTGGGTCCATGCAGTCTAGTGACTGTTCAGAGTAGCTGTTTGACAAATCTTAAATTCTCTCTGCTCGCGCTCTCTTACCTCTGTTACTTTAAGAAGGAAGATCTTTACAACCTCTTTAATGCTTAGGCTTTACTTGAGGACACCAACAGGAGGCTTAGCTTGTTCCTTTGATCTCCGTATTGCTTTCTACCTTCTGATTTAACAGACCCCACAGATGTATTATGTTTTGGTGCATTTTTAGTGGCCATTTAAAAATACTACTTGTGCCTGTTCAAGCTCTTGGCTCAACATGTAATACATCTGTCAAAATAAGATATTATTTCTCCCTCACCTGTTCCCCCAAACGACAATAGCATGCCAGGTCAGTAGGAGGCAGACTGGTTTCCTTGCATCAAAATCCAGGCTCTCATTGTTAAGGCTTAAGTTCTCATCTATGAGGCACAAGTGGTACTGCCTGACGCCCCCCAGCTGCTGAAGATGTTAACGAATTACTTAAAATAATTACTTAAAATAGCTGTGCCATCTTAATACAAAGGAAGAATATTCAAATTGTTTACATATATGTGAGAGGAATTAACACATTTCCTCTCTTCTATAGTTTTTTTTCCCATGTGGAAACATGAATGGGTTCTGATTTTAACAGATACACCAATGCAGGTGAGATGGTGAATAAAGACAAACCAGTAAGTTACATTCTTCTTACCCATGTTTGACAAGTTACGACACATCCTTTCACAAGAAAAGTGACTGAAGCATACACAGCAGGTGGTCTCTTACCTGGCCTAATTAAAGCTGGGTCCAGTGTTTCTATTCTGTTTGTAGCCATGATAACTTTAACATCCCCCCGGGAGTCAAAGCCATCCAGTTGGTTCAGCAGCTCCAGCATTGTACGCTGGATCTCTCTCTCACCACCTGAATTTGAGTCATACCTTTCAGAAAACAATACAGTCAGAAAAAGCACTATGCAAATTTAAGAACATACTTCACATAACTGCCACAAACGTATAAACAAAATAGCATGTGGTGTTTTGGATTTTTTTAAACAGCCGTTAACAGATTTTTTTTTTTTTTTTCATTTAATGTTCACCCATAGAAAACAAAAAGCAGGTTTTCAGAATCATATTGTGACATCTAGGTAAGTAAACACTGAACTATTCTTGTAGCTGCAGAAAGTAACAGCAATCATGTGAAAGAAGTGGGTCCTTTTTCCATGTTTGTTATGTATTTGTAAATCTCTTTTTTCCCCTAACAAAATTAACAAATTAACATAAAAAAAGAAAAAAAACCCTAATTCTTAAAAGCACGTGCAGCCGCTTCATAGCAAATACAGCTTGTCACTCATTTTTCCATTTCAGAGTTTTTCCTTATGCACGCAGTTACAGCTGTATGCCCTTTAGCCTTACTAACGTGGATCCTGGTTTAACTCTGCTCTTCCTGAAACGCAGGTACCAGCGGCTGTGTTTCTCTGCTTTGTAGGTTAGCTATTCCATTTTGCTAATATCAGACTACATAATCTACATCCAAAACAGCTCACCCATGTTTAGGAACAGTTTGAAGCAATGTAACATTTATGAAGAATTCTGCGCATTATGCACTTCACCATCAGTCCAATCCTTTCTATATATGCTGAAAGGTATGGGGCAGAAGCTGCCTTATACTGGAGCTTCAGGCTAGTAGCGGTGTAGTAATATGGATGAGCACCTTTTTATCTATTTAAAAGACATTTGACTATTTTAGAGACTATTTGTACTGGACAGTTCCAAGCACCCTACGGAATTTTCAAAGTAATACAAGTCGGATACAGGCTGAACAATAGTTTTGTGTGGCACAAGCGATGCTTCTCCATGACATCACACTCTGTAACTTACCATATAATATTCTAAGAGCATAAGTATTTAGCTACCTATCTGGAGAGGCAAACAATAAATGGATATATTCTGTATTAAGTACACTGCTTTACTGTCAAATCGCTAAAGCCGATTACTGTAGATTTGGATTTACACTTAAAGGATACCATATGAACTTATGCGTAGTGTCTCTTTCTGTTTAAGACACTATCATAGAGATGCTACCAGGTAGCAAGAGAACAGAGGTTAAATCTCTGGTCATATCTATTTAATACAAAAAGCTGGTGATATACTTTAGTTTCAGATAAGTTATTTGAAGTTTTACTTGTTAAAAATCCTTACATCAAAAAAAGTATTATGAAAATGGTAGCAGCAGAGCTGAGAAACTGAGTATCAATACGGTTGCAAAAGGAGCGTTTCTAGTAAATCTTTTATTGTCCCTGGCAATGCCTGCACGCGAAGTGGGAGCTAGAATGCTGTACCTCTTTGTACCAATGGCATCAATTTCATCAATGAAGACAATTGATGGAGCATGCTCTTCAGCCACACGGAACAGTTCGCGCACGAGCTTTGGACCGTCACCCAAGTACTTCTGTATAAGTTCTGAACCAACCACTCTCAGGAAGGTTGCTGAAGTTTGGTTTGCCACTGCTTTGGCTAGTAAAGTTTTACCTATTTTTGGTGGAAAGAAATGCTGTAATTAGTTTGCAGGGGGCAGGGTGGGGCGTATGAGTGCTTTAACAAAACAGTCATATGAAATTTGTGACAGACTTGGCAATGCTTTAACACTAAGCAAGCACAATTTATTTTACTTGTGTTAGCTCAGCACAGTTGTTACTGTACTGTGAGATACCTGTGCCAGGTGGGCCATACAGAATGACTCCTTTGGGTGGCTTTATACCCATCTCCTCATAATATTCAGGATGGGTGAGAGGAAGCTCCACAGACTCCTGCAGCACAAGAAAAACAAACCTGAGTTTTTATAAGGAGTGAGAGCTCTCCACAGAACTTCTGTGGAGATCTTGAGAACAGCATTAATAAAAGCAATGAAAGCAAAAACAACTTAACTAATTTCAAGACAGACCTTGAAAACTATGCGTCTCTGCTGCCTCTAATCCTAAGGCAGACAGCTGCTCTATCTGAACAGGTCTTCCTATTGTTTCCACTTGACATATGGAAGAGAAGCAGTGAGCGTTCCCCATCCTCCAACCTAAATGCATCATTCTGAGTTTATAACCTGGGAGTTCCTGACTCCCAAACACTCATGGAGGACCTTGGGGTGGGGGACTCTTTATGAATGGAAGCCTTCAACCATGAGTTATCAGATACTACAGATCAATATTTTAAGAGCATTTGTGATTTTGGACACCTACCCAAAGCAAGTAAGTTGAGTTCTACCAGGGTTCAGACAGAGCTTTGCTGGTAGGAAAAAACCCCAAAGAACAAACAAAAAACAAACACAAAACCCCCCAACCAAACAACAAACAAATGCAAAACCAAAACAAGCCAAAAAAACCCCACCCACCAAAATCCTTAGATTGCACGGCATCAGACACTCAAACCAATCTCCGTACTTTTTACAATTTAACTCTCATCCTGCAACAATCAATGACTTCACATGTTGCAAAATAAGAAGTTATTGCACCGATTTTATGAGCTCAAGGCTCTACAGATTCCATAGCAACTGTGAAAGGCTTCTCTGTGTACCGTTTGTGAATGGGTACGCTACCCACTTAAAGAGATTCAGGTCCATGAGTCTGCCTAGCAAAATCAAATAAAGAAACGCACTAGCAAGATACAAAAGAACACTACCCGCCCAGCAGCTGGTCCTGCTGTTAGGCTTTCAAGCTCCCAGCACAACAGCTACGTTGCCAGCTTACTTAACAGTGTAAATTAGTACAACCGAATACCTTGATTTCTTGAATCTGGTTGTCAAGGCCACCGATGTCAGCATACGTTTCTTGAGGAGCTTTCTCCACTTTCATCACAGTAACTAAAGGGTCTGTGTCATCCATCAGGACTCCTATCACAGCATGAACCTAATTCAAGCATTAAGAGTTGTCAAAGAAAGCAAGCAGCATTATTAATACAAGCTCAAGCCTAAACCCAATGCCCATCCATTTAGGTGCGTGAAATAAACAGCATTAGCTCTCAGACCCTACGATCCTCAGAAAAAAAGGCCAGTTAAAAACAGTACAAGAACTTGTGCTTCATTTATAAAGGCAACTCACCTTATGATTTAGCAAAACAGAGCAGCCTGGCTCTAGCAGATCCTTGTCCACAAAAGACAGAATACTGACGTAGTGTTCTGATCCTACCGATGTGGACACGATAGCATGGTTGTCATCAATGATCTCCTCCAATGTACCCACGGACATTGGTGTTCCCCTCAGATCATCCACCTTGGATCTTTCTTCCTGTTGTCAAGAAGAATCCAAGAAACAACTCAAGAATACAGCCAAAAACATTCTTGTACAACACTGGCTCAACAGTTCACACCGAACGTAACCGAACCAGTCTTTGCTATTGTTGTTTCACTGCCCCAAAAGGCATAAAAGCATACGCCAGTAACAAAATCCGCTATTATTTTAGTCCTATCCTATGGACGCTACTTATATGGATGTGCATAGCTAGAATATTCTTTCTTTCTCTGTTGATGGATATCTGGGAGCTGCACTTTGACAGACCACTAAGAAATAAAAAAGCACTGTGGCCTCATCTGTAGTAACCCATGCTTGGACTAAAATTTTTACTAAGATTTAAATAAATAAAGTATTAAAATATGTTATTA